GATTGGTTGGATTCACTTGAAGTTACAACGGATTCACTTGAAGTTGAAAAGGTATAGTTCAGACGGCTGTTTGGTAGACTGAAGTCTTATGTCTAGATTGTGAAAATTTCAGCAGCCTCGGCCGGATTTGAACCCACGCATGGACGCCATCTACGCTTTTGGTACAGTGCAGTTTGTACCAGCTGAGCTAAGAGGTCACATTGATAGCATTGAACTTTTCACATTCTGGTTTCATGTAATCCATAAGAATCACTTTCAAACTGCTATTCAACATTTAGCAACATGAAGCATATTCACTTCCTCCAATGTCTTGGTGTTAAACAAAGGAACTTAATGCGATCATGTGCTTTGAACTCATTTGTGACTAGCACATTCTTTACTACGGAAATAAGTATCCATCCTCAAAACGAACGACTGGCGCTAAACTGTTCACTACGAAAAATAGAATATCAAGTGAAAGACAACTCTTTCAGTCACACCTTTTGCGTTTAACGTCTACTGTGTTTTGTTTCTTTCTTCTGCAGGCTGGATCATCCTACTCGTACGCCTATATTCTACTAGGCGAATTGTTAGCCTTTTTAACAGGGTGGTCAATATTGTTGGAATACATTCTGGGTACGTCGACAGTTGCACGCGGTTGGAGCAGTATGCTAGATGGTTTGACCGGAGGTGCAATCAGTAACTGGATCATAAAACACATTGGTCGGTAAGTGGTGAAAACTAGAATAATGTTCATTTTTATGTTGTCATCATCATCGCACAGAAAAATACAGTGAGATGAACTTCACTGGTTGCTGGTAAACTCGCAATACATATAAGATTAGTGGTAAAATTTAAGGTGGACGGGGATTAGACCAACTTTGAAGGAGGGGGAAGAAGGTGAACCTCTGTGGTCAACACACAGAGTAAGTAATTGAACCCTGCATACATTCTGACCTGATAAGAAACGACAACAAGAACGCCACTGCTGTCGGCTCGCTGCCATATCCTTCAATGTATCCAACCAACCGGTTGTGGAGCCTTACTGACCCCAATCTCAGACACGTGAAACACCTACTCTACCTAATGGCTCTGTGCATTTCTTCATGCCTCGTCTCCACGTCATCTGTTGACCTCCACGTGGTTTCCTCCAGTTCGGATTAGCCACAGCGAATAAAGCGCGGTGCGGCATATGATAGCTGAGCATAGGCAATACGTGCCCTAACCAGCGAAGGCTAGTAATCTGAATTCGGTGTGCTAGCAGGTTTATACCTGATACTCTCAAACACACACGGCTTACCTACACGTTACTAACCCGTTCGCTCCATCCAACGTGGGCTAAACTGCGTAAACACCAACAATCGAAAACTTCTAGTCGACGGATATCTTCTACTCGTAAATTCAAGGTATCACAACCATAAGGCAGAACTGAACGAATGCCGGAGCAGTATGCACGACCTTTCAACTTCAGTGAAACGTCGCGTCTACACCAAAGGTGTTTTAGTCCTGCGTACGCTGCTCGAACCCTGGAAATGTGGCGGTTATCTCATTTGCTGCGCTAACGTCATTGGTCTTGAAACCACCCAGGCCTGCAGCATCACTTTGCACATTAAAGGTGCAAAGCACATACCGAACGTGGCTTCTGCACTTGTAAGTCTATTAAGTGCGCTTTGCGCGTTCTCCATACATTCAAACACACAAACGATGTCATAGGCGTACTTTAAATAGCACAGCTTTTCTCCAGCTGTCCATTCAATAGACACGTTTTGGAGCCCCCTTAGTGTGCTCTACAGTATTTAGTCTACTACCAAATTGAACACGAACGGCGAAAGAGGGCACCCTTGACGACTGCCGCTGCTGGTGACAAAAAGCCTACTACAGAAAGCCTACTTAGTTCATTACAGTACGGGAAGTATTACAGTACAGTGACCTCAGTAGGTTAACTTAATTCTGGGGTGTTCGTTTTTGACGAACGGAGCCCATCAGAGCTTCGCGGTCAAACGAATCGAAGGCTTCTCTCAGGTCAAGGAACACTACAATCGTTGGCCGACGATGGGTGTGACGCAGCGCAAGGACCTGACGCAACGTAAAAATTTGATCAATACAATATAGCCACAGCCAGGCCGGAATCCGGCTTTTTGTTTACAGACGTTTGTTTTTTCTTAAAGGCGTCAGACGTCGAAGCATGACCGAAGCCAGCACTTTGGTGACGACCGGGATCAAACTTATCCTGTGATGGTTTTCACAGTCGTTGCGACATCCTTTCCTGAAAATGGGAACAATTAGTGATTCGCCCTCAGATGATGTAATGTGTTCTTGCGTCCAAATGTTGAGCAGTAGGCTAGTACTAGAGCTTACGAGATTATCACCCCCCATCTTTTAAAGAGTGGGAGGATGGTCATTTGGTCCTGTTGCCTTGCCGCGCCCCAGAGTTTGAATGCAAGACCGAACTCCTTCTGTTGGAGGATCGTATGACACTGCCCACGGAGCTTCAGTTGCAGATGAAGCAACCTGGTTAGCACTAGGCCAACTGAACTGTTCGCTGAAGCATTCCGTCCAGCGATCAAGTCGTTGATCCCTATTTGGAATAGCCTGTCCCATTTTATCGCAGTGTTTCGCTTACTGGATCTCGCTGACATCCCATATTGCGTATCAATCGGAACAGTCTTCGACTTTTCCCTGATACAGCTGCTACTTCCATTTCACTAGCTATTGTTGCCCACCAGTTCTCGCGGTCCTTCTTGAGGCTCTTCGTGAGCTGACTTTCTAAATTCCACCTAATCCTATTTTGATCCTGTCAGGTCGGGAATTGCCGTTTTTCTCCACCAAAACTACTGCCTTCGACGGGCTTGAGGCTCAGACCGACAAGCATCACTTTGTAAATTTTTTTAGTTGTATTTGCTGTCTGTGGCATTTTATTGTCTAAAAGGCTACACAGCTATTCACCTAAGGCGTATTTAGGTGCACCTAACGGTAGGACATTATTACAAGTCGTACAAATATAAAAACCCTGCGTTTGGGACTCAGTTCAGCAAACTAGCAATGATCTACAGATTAACTAATTTGTAAGCAAAACACCGCTTTGCAGTATCCAAAGAAATAAAAAAATATTTTATCAGTTCCGTAAATGATCAAACCGAAACACCATTATTTTTCCAAACTTAACTGAATCTTAAACATAAGTTATGGAGTTGAATTCGTGCGCGGTTTGTTGTGCTTCAGCTGACGATGCATCTCCAGAGCGATCCTTATACACTCTATTGGAATGGGTTTCTCATATTCACTATAGAAGTATAGTGGATGCAAAACATAATTAAGCTTTCGATAATGAGCTGAACGATCATTGACAGTCAGTACGGACTTCACGCACGACAGTGAATCCCCCCTCCGCCGTGGACTGCGGTTTGATGAAATGCAAATCAGTCACACAGGTGCGCGTCTGAATTTATTCGCTACTTCTTTTTCGCGCCTAGAGCACGAAATGCTAACGCAGGGTGCATGTCACCCCTTTCAAGACTGCAAGTCGAGTTCGATTATTATTATACGTGCTTTAGCATGGTTCATACAATTTAGATTTAGAACAAAACGTGTTTTACGATTTGTGAAGCTGAAAGTGGACTCTGAACAAAACCGTGGAGAGGTCAAATTGGTTTTTAGAATTTCTGCCTCTCGTAGATGCGTTTCAAGTCATAATATTTGTTTTGTTTAGAAGAAGAAATAATCGGTCTCATTGTTGATCTTGCTGCCCGGGCGGTAGGTTAAAACTCGTTTGCGGTACAACATATTTCGTGAATGCTGAAAAGCAAAGGGCAGAAATTTTGAGTAACTCGAAGCAAGACAACGTTGACTATGAGCAGTTTTGACTCGTGAACTACCATAAACAAACGTGATTGGTGCCCAGAATTTGTGAGTGCAGTTCAAATGGGTATCGGAAGAGAACCAATCGATTACAGATTAGACTGGACGCAATTTCCCATCCCATATTGCGTATCAATCGGAACAGTCTTCGACTTTTCCCTGATACAGCTGCTACTTCCATTTCACTAGCTATTGTTGCCCACCAGTTCTCGCGGTCCTTCTTGAGGCTCTTCGTGAGCTGACTTTCTAAATTCCACCTAATCCTATTTTGATCCTGTCAGGTCGGGAATTGCCGTTTTTCTCCACCAAAACTACTGACCCCTGAGATATTCAATGCCTCCGACGGGCTTGAGGCTCAGACCCACAAGCAACATTCGCTGGGGAATGTATTGTTGGCCTAATCTGATCCCACTGCTCGTCTTCATTACCACGCTGAGGTGCACTTAGCTTACGCACTAGCTCTGACTCAGAGTGCAAGAACTGCTGGAACAGATAGTAGTTTATGAGCTATCAGAGCTTGCTGGTTTTGTCGCCGACCAGCCAGTCAGAGCGTGAACTGCATCAAAACCAATGCGTGGTCAGAGTCAACGCAAGTGGTCCAATAGGACCTGCATTTTTGCACTGAGCCACACCAATGGTAACTAACTGCTATGTGGTCGACTTGAGTTAGAGTACCAGTTGACCTGGAACGCCACGTTTCCGTCCGTCGAGAACTTTGTCGGAAGTTGGTGCTTGATAGGAACAGATGATGGTCTGCGCAGAGCTGAAGAAGTCGATCTCCGTTATCTCTTTACTGGCGGGGTAGAGCACAACTATAGCCTAGGCAAGCTTCTGATACGCTCAGTTGTCCAACCTGCGCCTCGAATTCACCTGCACTTACAACTCTGTCGGAGCTTTGACTCATCCAAATGAGATCAGTGAGTTCATTGTAGAAAGCGTCCTTTTGTGTATCACAGCTGCCATGGTCGATGCATATGTTGGTATAATGAACAAACACCTTTTGGTGTTGCTTCCCTTTCGGACTCTGATTAAACCCTGGAGACGCACTGCACATAAACGACTGTTGACGGGGATCCAATCGATAATGGAGGACTCAGCACTTTTATTGAGTACAATACATACTCCGCGATGACCTACTGAGTGGGCTTCATCGTCGCCTGATTTGCAAAACCCGTGCCTCGGGAAAAAATCTGGCGCGCTCAGGTGACTCATAATAGTAGGATGCTGATTAGAATCTCCGACACGCAGCAAATATCGATCCTTAAGGTTTCCATTGTACGCGCCAGGCAACTTTGGTAACATTCATGCATCAGGTTCCTCTCGTTGAAGCCCCCCAGATTAAGTGATTGACGAGCCTTTAGAATCTGCAATTCGGTTTGTGGTACATTACTGCCCGACAGTGCTATTGGGCAACGGTCTTTGGCGAGTGACACCCAAGTTGCTTGAGGGACTATTTAAGACCAGAGGAAGGGGAAAATGGAGAGGGATGGGTGCTGAAGACAAACAATAAAACAAAGGTTGGGATATCTGAGCGGTAGCCTACTCATCACTACCCACTCCACTCAATGCAATGGACAGGGCGATCCCTATTATCCTGCTCGACGACCGCTGCAGTATGGCATTAATTTTAGTTTGTTTGTGCATTAGGGTCTGACGGTCGGGTACTGCGTGGGTGTCCAGCCGCTAGACACGAGAACGATTAGCGTTAGCATCGATTATTATCACTATCTGTGCGAAGTATGCAGTTGTTTTGTTACCATTTGCTTTTGTTAGCATGTCCTGTTTGCCAAAAGTACACCCCCCCCCCAAGAAAAAGAAACCAATGGTATTACATTATTCTACCTGTTGTGTCGTGTTCACTGTCTACCATCTGCAATTGCTTTAGTTACGCCACCCGGGGTTCGAACTATAAGACCCCAGGTCTACACCTAACCTCATTTGTGCTGTATTGAAGCTGACAACATTTAATTGATTTCAGTTATGTACTTCCAAATGCAACTCTGAAAATTGTACTTAACCAATCAAAATACTGATTCATCCGTTCGAATGATTTATTTTAATTGTTGGTCCCTCTAAATAGTCTCTCCATTGTTCAGTCATTGTGTGAATGGGAATGCGCCTAGTCGATCAAACTCCGTATTGGTTGAACTGATGAGACAGTGAGTCTGGAAGCTGGATCGTGGGATTCACCCTTGCTGCTCCTCATCACACAGTAGTGATAACACGTGATTGTAGCGCAGCGAGTCAAAGGGCGCGCACACATATCTTGCTAGAATCCTTGTAAACCGAGAGCGCGTTTCTTCAGAATTTCTCAGTAACCTTAAAGGTTAAATATTTTACTTGTATTTTTCATTCTATTGATGAGATGTATAATTTTTGACTGAAATTCGAACATTTCTGTTCTCGCAAAAGTCTGTACAAATAAAAATAGTGTGTAATCAAAAAAATATTCTCTACGCATGTCACTCCTCCCATTAGTCACATCCGTTTTTCCTATTATAGTCAGTTATCATTTTTCTATTATTGTCACAGAGATACACAAAGTCACAAAGAAGCTGAAACTGCTTGTTCTCAAGCAATTACTCATCGTTTGTGAATGAATTCACGAATAGTTGTGTTATTATCTACATATTAAAGCAACCTTTCTCCCCTCATTTTCATATTACGTACATCCCTCCAAATTCTATTTTGACCCATTTTTAATCCTTGTAAACATTTCGCACTTTTCGATTTAACTGCAATTGAGCTCTTTCCCACTATATCGTTTTCAAACCGTTTTTGTTCCTCACAATGACAGAGATTATATTGGCCGGTTTGATTGTTCGAACTGCATTTCCAAGCGTTATTTCTATCTTTGGCTCTGACGTCGAAACCACGAAATTAGTTTATTGAAAACAACAGTAAAATTGACCGAAAATATAAGTTTCGCTGGGCTGAACAGCATCCCTTCACTGACCATGCACTACCCTGTAGTGTGTGGTAAGGTGCCACCACCTTTCTCAAGTTCTCTAATCCATTATTTTGTCTGTCTTCTCATTCTAGCTTCACCCCTCCGTTGTATCGTACCAATAACTCGCTCACGATGACTCGCAGACGACTCTTATTATTACCACCTACCCGGTTCAATCAATCTCTCTTTTTCTAGCTCCCCTTACTTTTACTGTGAGAGTCATGAACCCCGGTTTCCAAAGTTTTCACGTGTTTATCACTTGGTTCGGTTCCCCACATCTCCCCGAACAAAGCAAAACGCGCCCTATTAGGTGAACGTCATATGCCCACCTCTCGGAGTGGAAAAAGTAGTGATTTAAACCATAGAGATTAGGTCAACATTGTTACTGAGTATTTTCATTCTCAAGCCATTCCATGTGTAGAAAAAAAATAACGAGAGGGTGTTGCCATGGACAAAACACTCGAGATCTGTGTCATGGATGATCGGTATACACGTTAAGTTTATCTTGATTTCTGCCCTGCAAACGGGTAGCATAGTTGTTGGGAGCGAAGTCAGGTCATAAGTATGCCAGACAATAGTGCATTTCGATCTCGGGAAGTTTAAGTGCCCAAATTAGTGTTTTTGTGCTCGCACACACTTATATAATTCTGGCATCGACAAGCTGATGGTTGTCTTTAACGCTTCCCTCAATGAACTCTTGATGGGATTGCGGGATCAGGTTGATGACGACGTAAACCAAACGGGTCTAGGATAAGTGGGGTGTAATTGGGTACTACCCATATTAGTAGTGAGTGATATAATAGATACTGGCTAAAACAGGCGGTTGCTGTGCCCTCACGGTATTAAGAAACGAACAATACAAAAAATGTTTTTTGGAGCAACGGAGGATGCAAACAGAGAACTGGACTAGTTGACCATAGACAGAGTTTATCATGAGGCCGTGAACGGTCTGCATCTGGTTTCATCCAACCGGAAATATTCCACATTACATCCAAATAATTCTAATATTCATGGAAGACATCATTATAAACTTCAGCATCATCATCGTTGACGCCATCATCATCATAATCCGAATTGTCATTATCGTCATCTTTGTGGTCTTCATCTTTATCATTGCCCTCGTCGTCATTATCATATTTTTCCTTTTTCATTATTTCGTTAGTCTAATGGAATGAACTACCGGTCTTAGATTTTATCGTTTACGTCTTTCTTTTTTGTGGTGCTCTTTTTGCTTTTGGTGTTTGTCGTAGCGTTGTTTTTCATCAACCCAGACCCTTTCATCACGAATATTTATTTTGCCAAAGTGGTCAGAGACGTTTCAGGGCGTTTATCCTGTGTATCGATCGTGCAGTCCGGCACATAGCTGTCACTGCTACTAACTGTTTCTGCTTTTCTGTGAGTGCTTGTGCCAACTGGCAGGTATCTGTGCCGTTGCGCCTCGGCGACTGCCTGAGCAAAGCGTGAAAGGGAAATGGTCGTTTATGTGAACACTTGTACAGTAGACTAACATAATGTCTACGAGTTTGAGGAAGGTCTAAACATCGATTTCAACGACTGACGGACGCTCGAACTTGTTTGATGGGGTTAACTATACTTATCTTTTATTTGCTCTATTAGTCCTGTTTTAGTAGTGCCGTAAGTTCAATTATTTTATTTGACAAAGAAAATGTGTTGCAAAGGCAGTTCTTTTATTTCCACATGAGCTGTTTCTTCATAGAATATCGCAACTCTTCAGGTTCTAGTTTTGAATGACTAGTATAAGGGGCAAAGGTGTCACCACTGCTTACACTTTTGGTTTCTATCTGTCTTGTTGACCACAAGATAACTGATCCAAACATGACCAAGAATCATTTTTACAAACCAATGTCAACATCATATATCTCGGAAATTTAGGGCCACCGACACAGATTAAGCATCTGAACAGAAAGACTTCAAGACCTGCTAANGTTTTTCTCTGACCACAAAACTCGTCCCTCATGTGAACTTGAAAATACCGCTTGCTTCAAGTGCTTTTTATTCTTTGGATTGAGCATACGAATGATCAAACGACATTTTTTATTTTTCATAACTTGTATTTTCCTCTTTAACGAAAGACGCTAGACACAGCTAATTCTGTCTTCAGACAGTCGCTTGAGGTTTTTTTTTCTTGCGTGATCCATATGGACACCAGAATCAGGTATCTTCGTACAATTCAAAGTCCTGCCAAAGTAACTGAGCACGGATTGTGACTTTTTAATTCTCTTGTCTTCATATACCCGTCCACTCCCCGAATGGGACTAGCCTCGGCCCGCCGGGCGGTGTTTTGGCCGAATATCCGGACCTCATCGGTGTCGCTCTGATCCTGATCGCCGCCGGTATCACGTGTTGTGGAGTGCGTGGTAGTGCCCGAGTGACCGGGGTGTTTATCTTCATCAACTTCTGCGTACTAATTGTCATCTCAGTCTACATGTTCGTGTTCAGCAACACGAAAAATTTCCAGCTACCCATCCCAGCGAATGTGACCGACATTAATCCCTATTCACCCGATCCGAAGTTTCTACCCTTCGGTGTGAATGGGCTGATGGGTGGCGTGGCTATCTGTTTCAATGCATTCATCGGATTCGATGCTATATCCACATGTGCAGAAGAGACAAGATCGCCGAGTAAAGACTTGCCTCGAGCAAATTTTGCAGCTGTCTTTTTTGTCTCTCTCATCACAATGGTCGCCTCGCTTGCTTTGGCCCTGTACTATCCGTGGTATTTGGTTACACCGGAAACACCGTTCCTGAGTGCATTGAATGACAATGTGGACGGTGGGTCGCCCGCAGCCCGAACCGGGATGTTTTATTTCGTTGGAGTTGGATGTCTCATCGGGCTAACCTCCAGTCTGTTATCGAATTTGGTGGCTGGACCCCGAATCAATTATGCCATGTCAGAGGATGGTCTACTGCCCAAGTGTTGTTCAAATGTATGCCGTCCATTTCTGGTGAGTTTATTTGCTATGATGTATTAGAGTATTCTGGGGCGATTTTACGGTTCAGTCAACCCAAATGCGGAGTCACTGAAATGCGCTGGATGCCGTACAGTTTCACAACAGTTTCACCTCGATGATAGCGTACCTTAACCGCCGCGTTTCATGTATACGTGAAAATTGAATGAATTCGCTAAGTAGCATAGAAGACCGTTCGGGTGTTGTAAAGGAAGAATAATCTAAGCACAAATTTTAGTCGCTTGAAATGAAACGGAATTGGCTACCAGGATTCACTTTGTTCCCCGGGAAATTAACGTTCTGAGAGTGACAACATAATGTATCATGAGGTTCCAATATATTAAGTATGCTTATAAGCCACAATAGAGTAATCGCTCTACACCACGATAAATTGTCGTTACCACGTCGGACTTTAAACTGCAATGTATGACAATGATATAGGTTTGAACGTCCCAACTGGTACTGCTAGCAAACAAACACGGTCACCAAAAATAATGCTGATTTACAGGTCTCTCACACGGTCCAAAGCCTTTGGTTCCTATTTGATCATTAAAATAGCCAACTGCAACGACGCTGTTCGATATTACTAACGGGATCATCACATTGTATTGTATGCTCTGTCGACCATTCTTTTTTCGCTGATTAAGCAGTGAACGGCATTTGGGCATTTTCCAATCAAATCAGATGTATCCGTACAGCTCATTTTCCTACTAATTTAAGCACAAGTTATGCTAAACATAACTCATGAAACTACACTTAGACTGTTAAACAAACAATGTGATGAAGTGCTAAGGTGATTCCTAAAACTATCTTTTCCCAGGGTTTTACTAACAACTACCAATAACCTTCAAGCCTTTTTTACTCAATTCTGAGGATAATTATGATTTAGTCTGCAAGTCTGATCATTTTATGAGGTGACCACCAGTTAATTATTGAACAAAGAAGCATTTCGCTTTTCGATGGAGAGAAAAAAACGCATATTTAGTCTACGGTTTAAAGTATTTGAGATCTTGATCTAAATACCGGCGTTGAATAAATGGTTGTAAGTGGGTTTGTTTGTATCCTGTTGGAGTCCAAAATCTCTTCTTCAACAAAAGATGTTAGCATTTGACCGGCGGCAATAATCGAGCTGTGGGCAAAACCCATTTCTAAATGATTAGTTTTTCATGTTTTTCTTTTATTACTCGACTCAAAACTGCGATCCCGATCTTGATTTTTCTGTCCCTAGCTCTAATGTTGTCGAACCTGTTTAAGATCATTCTATTAAATCTTTTGATGTTAAAGTTTAAATCCCTTCTGCTTCTATCTGCTAGCCATAATCTGCATCCAATAGAGAGTTCTAATGAACCGTTGCTTTTTTCCTCTATCATTTGTACTTTTGAATAGACACCGGCAATTGCCACCGTATTTGTGGCCCTCGTTACCGCGATATTGGATTTGATATTCAGTGTGGAAAGTTTGGCGGATTTTCTAAGTTTGGGCACTTTGATTGCCTACTCGATCGCTTCCATCGGACTGCTCAGACTGCGATACGCAAGTCCACCCGAAGTTCGTGTATTACGTTCCGCCACCAACCATAAAACTGTACACAATCCGTTGTCCACGATAATCACTACTACGGAAGATCATCATGTTGAAGAGGTTAGTGGTTGAGTGAGACCGTATGGTGAATGGTTCATATTGATTTACAGATAGGTGCTACAAATTGTACTAATTGTTGAACACCAGGGAATCTGTAGAAGAAATATTTTCTGTCCTGGTATTCCATGTTTAGACTTATACCTTCTGATGCGAGTTTTGATGAACTCAACTAGGTTTCAAAACAATGAACTCTGTGGCGCCGTGCTTGTACGTTGAATGAAGTTTACTGATATGCTCTCTCAAGTCAGTTTATTTATTCATTTATTAGTTGACTTGTCTGAAGTAAGCGTAAACTGATAAACTGACAAATAATTCTGGACAACCGTCTCTCATTCATATGAAAAATAAATAATTTTTACTCTAGACTGGCATGAATTCAACCTTGTCCGTTTGTATGACGAAACGTTATAGCGTAGCTGAATCCATCCTTCTTCTATCAATATGACTCAGTCACGACGCTTGGTGAACTGGTGCGATCTATTAACCACAAGGCTGATGGTTCTTGGAAAGATCAATTTTTCACACTCGTTTATCACGAGATAAGCTGTGTCGCCTGTTTTCGAGCCCCTTTTATACTGTTTTATTCGGTCACATATATGGGGATAAGGGAGAAAAGTTATCGCACTGCATTACGCAATATATAATTCTTCTAATATGTTCTAATATGTTCGTGCAGTCGTAAATAGAAGGTGAGAAGAACGGTGCGACTAACTGACTCATCTGGATAGGTTTAACTTTTTGCAATAAACATTGTTTGGTGCTGAGCGTTTTGCTATTTAGAGATCCAGTCATCATGCAGGCGTTTAAACTCACTGAATAAAGGGGTACGTGTTAATGGAAGTCAATTTGCGGACAGCCCCCGTGTGGATAGCCGTTTATAGGTTCTGGCCATAGACTGGATTTACTCAGATCAGTGCCACGTTCATGTCACTTCTGTCAGAGACAATGGGATTACTTCAAACGCAGTCACAACGAAGTCACTATTAGAGCAGCCGTTGAAAAATTGAACTAAAGTACAACAACTGGTACCGATGCTAGCGAACAAACAAATAACTGACAACTGAAGCGTCATATCTCGAGACACATAAAGCTTACTAAAAAAAGTTAAAAAAATAAATCACTTTAATAACGTCCATCATCCGTTTATCTGCCCTGCGAAATATCCAACAATATTTCCACCTTCATTCGTAATTCTCATTTCCATTCATGTTTATCTTGGTTATTCCTAACGCTCTGTCTCCAAACCGATGTGAAGATTGTTTCCTTGTCTTTGCTCACAGATCCTGAACGACACTGATGCGGAAACCCATCGCATTGATCAACCCGGTTACCTCAAAGCTTCCTGGGCAAAATATATGCCCTCGTGTTGCATCAAACTGTTAAATCGGGGTAAACCCGGTGATTCAATTATGTTTATTCTCGCTCTGTATGTGATTTTCATGTCCCTGATAATTGTGCTTATAAAAGTCGGTGCACCGGAAGGATTGTGGCCAATGTGGCGCATTATCATCGTCGCGATTCTGCTGCTGCTCTCGACTGTCTTGATTGTTCTGATGTGTGCATTTGTGCAACACAAAGCACCCTATCGGGAACTGTTTCGGGTAAGTTTTAACTCGCTGCCGTTGTTCCTGCTGTTGATGTAGTTCATCTTGTGCTTGATTTGAGCCCCCCACACACACACACCCAGACAAAATCATTTCAAAACCGAACAATCTAAACGTTAAAACAGCTTTCCCCACCTGCACACCGGGTTGGAAGCAAACTGGACGAATACAGGTTGGGTGTCATTATCAGGTCAAGTCCATATTTACTCATCAATTGTGCAATCTCTCTCGGACACTAGTCGTCTAAAACCATCTTATTCAATTAGCTTCATTATGAAATACGTCATTCTCAATTCGCCTTACTACTCACATTGTCCTCCCACACCTGTGCCATGTGCATTTTGACATCGAATATTTATGTCTGAATTAGTTTAATCGCTTGAGATGACGAGGAATTTAGATAATTTTGTTTCTTTTCACCTAGTATTGATCACTGGTATTGTAATAATTGGGTGAAATAACGGAACTACTGACCCTCTAGTATCCACGACATCCGTTTCTTCGATGTTCTTAAATGCATACCGTTAAAATGTTCTCCTTATTCTCACCATGTAGAAAAATAGCAATAATATATGTTCCAAGATAACAGCATCATCATACTCCGGTCGTCGACTGGTAGAAAAAGTGACATCAAATCAGTGGGTTCACATGGGAAACTTTCAAGAATGGGATCACGTGATTATGCCAGACTATTTGCACCTATCCGTGGCACCGAGAGTAGATAGAATTAAATGTAATGAAAATTGGGCCTAATTACCTATGGAAAAAAAGTTATATAAATGACTAAATAACTTAAGAAACATCCAATGAAATCTGTAGAGACCAAATATTATTCGCCATTACTCACGTGCCCCGGATTTCAAGCTAAAACTGTTGAATAAGTTCATCCAAATGCACCCCCCGGGGGTTGACTGATGCGCTGTTGTTCGGCTTCAGTTCAAAAGTATCACATTGAGGACTTTGGTGAGTGGCTATTATTTTCTGATTTTAACTGATGGAAAGGATCTTCGATCCTTAGCTCGTAAAACATACCCTATAACTTTGACGAGATCAAATCGCTTACAAAATCCGAGCTCGATTCCGTACACGTTTAACTGTTCATAAATAGTATATGAATGACTTGGCAACATAGCCCTGTAAACACACTTCCTATTTCGTATTATTTGGTTCTCTTCGGATATACGTTCGAGTAAATGAATGACCTGAAAAAATATTACACGATAAGTTCACTCAATGAGTGACGTGTGATGTGCTTCCAGGGACGTGTTTTCCGGTCATTCAGAAAGTACCCAATGTACACAGACCAGTAAAATACACGTACTTCACTTATGCTGCCACTGACTACATTTAGCCTACAAAGCAACGTAGAATCTTCGCAATTATTTACTGTATAATGATGGTCCTTTCTAAAGAATATACTTAGTAACTGCGAATTAACAATTTGGGATGGAGACACGTTACTCTGCATCAAACTATCAATGAAATTAAGCACCTTTTGATTCCAGTAATGAATGCTAAAATCTCAGGTTGTTTGGAATAAAATCAAGTGATTGAACAGGCGCCTTGCCATTCTTCACTTTTTTCAAATTTGGAGCTCAGTCGAGAGAGTTTTCTCTCTAACCAAAGGTATGTCATCACTTGTGCGTCAAAAATTTATCTGCTTCAGCAGTCGATCCTCGAAGAGTAAAAAAGGACAGAATAATTTCAACTGCATCGACTGTGTGCATGCTGTATTAAACCAGCGCGTAGTATTTGTTGCCGTATGACTTTTTTGTATTTATAAGCCTAAATTTAGGAAAGAAAACTCTGGAGACTGTTTAGTGATCAAAGTTCCAATTTCTCTCCCGGTGGGCGAGGTCTCTTCTTCGATCTTGAGAAATGCTCACACGTCTGTTCTACACGATCTACCTTCCTGGGATAAACATTTCAATCCTAAAGTGAGTGTGGAAAAGCCACTAAATGGGGCTACAGTTAGTTGATGATCCAAAGGTAGGCCGCTTATCTAAGACTGTAAAGCCTTGATTTTAAATCTCCTTGGGGGCATTGTACGAAGCCGCTCTATAACATACGTATCGCAAAGGTGCACCGCCCGAACGAACTTCATTCTTTGTACTGAGTATACTGAAAGATTACATCGAATATCGAGGGCATGCGATCTAAAGACCAAGGAACTAAACACAAAGAGGCCTTCATACACTAATCTGTCTCACTGTTCCGGCGGTGGCTGACCGAAGGCTTTCGTTAAGATTTCTTACGAAATGTATCTACTTTGGCTAGGGTTTTGATGCAGTATTATGCCTATTAACAACCCGTGAATGCTTTCTTAGTCATAATAATGCCTTTCCTCTGATTGTCTTGAGACAGTTCCAGTTCAGGCAGGTGTAAAATTTATTAATAATAATAAAACTGGTTGTCGAATAAAACCTCCTAAAGACGCTTTGCTATCACACTAACATCATTTCAGGTAAAATCAGTTATGACTTTTGCCCAGTTCTCTCTCTCAAAAACTGATTGTCTCTTCATCA